GACCCATCATTGTATCTAGATGGCCACTTGAAAGCTTTTAAGATCCCAGTCACTACTCACCAAAGTTGGATATGGATCGTTTTTGCATAGTATGTTATGCCAATTGAGGTGATGTCCCCTGTGATCATGGCTCCGAGCCTGCAGGTCCAACTCCTTGTTCCCTCTGGTAGCTGGCTATGGCCAAAAAGTGACTACAACATTGTCCCTTGTTAGCTCTACTATATATCTTGAAATTTTTACAGAATATACAAATACACTTGTAGAAATAATGTCTGCCAAGTCTATATATGGCCATGGCCACACTCCCCCCTGCATAGACATACCTCATCATGCAGCCTGTCCACTCATCTGTCAACCTGTATATCAGTGTTTGCCATCACTGACAATGAAGTACTGTGTGTACAGAAGGGTTCATCTTTGTTGTCTGTACCTCCCATGCACTTCTCTATGTCTTCCTCTTCCTCAATGCCACTGTGTTGATCACTCACATTTGGTACATTGCCCTTCCATTCACCCAAATCAATTCTTGTCTCTACCTATCTAGCAGTTTTCCCTCCCCTCCTCTCCCACCTCTGTTAATGAACAAAGAAATTTCCTTCCATATATAAACGTTTCCTTGATTTTTTACCATAATGGACTAATACAATATTTGTCCTTCTGTGATTGACTTATTTCACTCAGCATAATATTCTCCAAGTTCATCCACATTATGAGGTGTTTTGCAGATTCCTTTGTTATTCTTTAGGGTTGCATAGTATTCCATCGGAAAACACATCTTTAAAAAGACTTTCAGTGTAGTAAATTACTTGGCATAATTCTTCTAGCCATGGTCTTTGTGACTCCCACCACATAATTGAGTGGCGTTATACAGATGTAAGGAGCTCTGGTAGCGTAGTGGCTAAGGCACTTGACTGCTAACCAGAAGCTGGCGGTTCAAACCCACCAGCCACTCCCAGGAAGGAAGGTTGGGCAATCTACTTACATAGTGATACTGCCTTGGAAACCCAAGAAGGGGTCGCTATGAGTCGAGTCTGACTCAATGGCAAATAACAACAAGAACATACAGGTGAAGGTGCTTCTGGCCCAGCATGAGGATTGGATAACTTGTTAATAATATAAATTAAGGCGTACATGGCACCCTTGTTGGGGTAGAACTGTGGAAATAAGGTGTATGGAACCCTAACTTGAGGATTGGTCAGTTTTGCTATCCGGTAGGCTTGAAATAATTCATCCTAGAGGGACAAAGACAGGATCTCACTACCATCAAGACAGATGAAGAGCCAGGAGTTAAGCACTTCTTTAGACTCAAGATCCCTGCACTCAGACAACAGCAGAGAGTTGGTAGCAGCAGAGGCACAGCTAAGAGACTTTTGTAACACTAAACTCAGCCACACCAAGGGGATGAGGGCCAGAGAGAGAGACCTGCTTTCGGGCACAGCTGAGGGAAGGTTGTCCTGATTGAAGAACTCTGTACTGAGTGTTTCTGAACCTGAATTGTAATCTGTTACTTCTGTAATAAACCCCACCATCCTGAGTATAGCCTGGGAGTTCTGTGTGGCCATTGCAATTAATGATTGAACCCAGCAATGAAGTAGAGTCCATGCGTGGGACTTTGGTACCAGAATTGGTTTAAAAAAAGAAAAAAGTTGGATAATAGTATCTCTTCTGACCTCTGTCTCATAGGAATCAGCCTAGGCTGTTGATGTTGTTCTGGATCTTACTTCCCCCTTGGGGAGTTGTAGGAAGTCAGATATTGCCCCCAGGTCCTTTTTGCAGACTTACAGATGAATGTTCATGGCAGCTTTATGTATAATGGCCATATATTAAATGCCCATCACCAGAAGTCTTGATAATCAAACTGTGGTATATCCATACAGTGAAATATTATTCCCATCGATGAAAAGAAACAAATTACTGTTACATGTAAGAATGTGGGTAGATCTTCAAAACATTGAATGAAAGAGGCTAATGAATGGATAATGATACAAAGAAGGTCAGTGGTTGCTTGGAGGTAGGGATGGTAGTTGACCACTAAAGGACAGGAGGGGACATTCTACAGTGATGGAAATGTTCTGTGTCTTGGTTAGGATTATGCTTACACAGAGACATACATAAACTTAACCTAACTGTACATGAAGAATGGATGTCTTATTGTGTGTAAATTGCAGTTTAAAGTTGACTTTAAAAGGAAAGTATTTTTTAAAGATCATTCTTTAGAATTTGGAAAGAAATAGTTATAGTGATGTGGAAAAAAAAAACATGAAAATAGGAGAATTGTACAAGAAAGTAAGGATAAGTGTAATGTAGTATCCCTCCAGTAGGGAACTGTCTCATCAGGGCTGTCAAAAGCTGAAAACAGCCTCAAATTATATGGGAAGTTAAATGGGGGCTTCCAATCCTGGTGCTGAAACCTTATTGTTCCTGGTAAGGGGTCAAAAATTATCTAAATTTGATTAAGAAAAAGATGTAGAAGGTTATTATTTAGTAATATGAAAAGAAATCCCAAAAGAAATGATTAATAGCATTTGGGGAGGGATAGAAAAAGGTAAGTAGGAGAATTGTAACTTTTCTTTAGAAGCTTTGTAATATACCATTTGACTTTTTAGCTTAAATACAGGTATTATTATGAATAAAAATTTTAATAATAAATAACATTATAGGAGAAGGAGCTCTGGTGGCACAGTTCTTAAGTGGTCAGCTACTAACCAAAATGTCAGTAGTTAGAATCCTCCAGCCATTCATTCCACAGGAGAAAGATGTGACAGTCTATTTCCATAAAGATTATAGGCTTGGAAACCCTATGGGACAGTTCTACTCTGTAATTAAATTACATAACAAAAATCGTTATTTTTTTGTACGTCAGCTGGAAGATAGTTTTGCATTTCAGCTAATTACCAAAGAATTAAGGCCAGATTTGAAAATCTAATCAACATTTTACACATTCTTATCTGTGAAAACATACTGTTTATGCACATTTTGAAAATCTTTATAATATCAATGTAGTTGTTGTTGATAGTGGCCATCAGTTTGGCAACCCCACGTACAGGAGATCAAACCCTGCTTAGTCCTGTATTATCTTCACAATTTTTGGTATGCTAGTGTGTGTATTTTGAGTACCTTACAGTCTATGAGGTTCATCTTCCAGCACTATATGAGACAATATTTTATTGTGATCTGTAGGTTTTTCATTGGGTAATTTTTAGAAATAGCTCACGAGTCTTTATTTCTAGTGTGTATTAAGTCTAGAAGCTCTGCTGAAACCTGTCCACCATGGGTGTCCTGCTGGTATAGCTTTCAGCATCACAACAACATGCAAACCACCACTGTAAGGCAAACTGACAGATGGGTGGGAGGTAATGTCTCACTTTGGTTAATTCTCTTCAAAGTGATCAGACACTCTCTAGTTGATTTGTGCTCTGAATATCACATAATTGCTGTTCCTCTCCCCCGAGAGGTCGATGGAGGTTGATGTGTTGCAGCAGCTTTATAAGTGTGGTATCATCAAGGTGCCATCTCCACGTAGTCAGCAGTGCCGGGCCACTCCCTGGGGAGTGGAATCCTTCTTCTGAACATCGCCATGGCATTGCTGCCAGTGTCCAGTGCTCTTCATGTAATAGGCATCTAAAAACATGTACAGACAAAAGTGTGCACACATGCTGAGGACATTGTGGCACACCAGGGATGTTGACAGACTGACCACACAGTAATCTAGGATCCTTTTGAAAAATCACACACACACATACAGAGGGAAGTGCGTGTTTTTCCTACTAGGTTATTACTTTGGCTGATATTCATTCTTGACACTTTGTGGTCCACAGTTGGCTATGTCAGGGCAGGGAAACATATGTCACACAGCAGGCCCAAGCTATGTGCCTGCTCATGTGTCTCACTTGCTAAAAAGCTTGATGTAGCAGACTGCTAGCTGTACCCTCACATCCACATGTTTTCTGTTTAGTGTGTTAGCATGGTTCTGACAGTTACACCTTTTCTTATACATTAAAGTGTAATCTGTGCTTTGAAATTATTAGAATTAAATACTTAGCAAACCCTTGTATCTGTGTTATTCTTCTTTGCAAAAGTGTATATGTTTAATTGATTTGAAATGTGTTAACTGAACTTATAATTTCTGTTTTAAACATCAAATACTTGATTTTGAATGGCTCCTAATTCATTATCAAAGATGGTGATTCAGTGGTAGAATCTTCACCTTCCATGTGGGAGACATAGGTTTGGTTTTCAGCCAGTATACGTCTTGGGCAATCACCACACATTTATCACTGGAGGCTTGCATATTGCTGTGGTGCTGAACAGGTTTCAGTGGAGCTTCTAGACTAAGACAGAATAGGAAGAAAGGTCTGGAGATCTACTTCTGAAAAAATCATTCAGGAAAAAACTGTAGATCACAGTAGTTGTATCTCATTGTGCATAGAGTCACCATGAGTCTAGAGTATCTCAGGGGCAGCTAACAACCACACATCTATTATCGAAACACTATCTTTTACCTCCACGGCACATAACAACAAAAGCTTTTACCTAAATGAGTATGGTTATATAATTTTGCTAATTTTTTCTTATTTGTGCATAAACTAGTAATTTCAGTAACTGGAAGCACAGCAAGGCCCAGGAGCATAGCATTCATCAGTTTTTACTAAGGAATTGAATCAGTTTGGAATGTTTCTAGTTCCAGTGGACAAGTAGCCTCACTTTTCAGATTCCTCTTTCCCAGTTTGGAGAATGAGAGTGGATTTAAGGAAGGATGTTGAGTGATCTTGCTGTTTGCTTCCTGAACTTTGAATTACAAGGGATACCTTTATTATATTTCAGAGTATTTATTTCTAATTCATCCCATTTCTCAGAATTTCCTATTTGGTGATTATATCAGTTAACTGGGAGGAGGATTTATTATGTAGAGTGAAAATTAAAAAGTTCTGATTTTTTAAGGATGAACCACAATTGAAATTTTAGGGTTTTTTTTTTTTTTTTCTTTCTTTCTTTTTCAGGTTTGTTCGGACAGTATTACCATTTTCTCAAGAATTTCAAAGAGATAAACAGCCTAATGCACAACCCCAGTATTTGCATGGATCAAAGGTAGGATATTTTTGGTTTGTAATGATTTTTGGTTCACAGTGAAGCTACTTTAACGTTTACTTTAAGTCATTTTAGTTGCAGTGATTTAAATTCATAATTTATAAATTGGAAACATGCTATGTATAAAATGTTATTTTTGTTTTCTAATCTATTAGCACCTTCCTAAAAAGTAGCAATAATTTAAAGCATGCACTGTCTTAGTTATCTAGTGCTACTTTTACAGAAATACCACAGGTGGATGGCTTTAACAGATTTATTCTCTCACAGTTTAGGAGTCCAAATTCAGGGCACTAGCTTTAGGGATGGCTTTCTCTCTTTGTTGGCTTACAGTTTAGGAGGAAAGTCCTTGTCTTCTTTCAGTATCTTTGGGCCCAGCATTCCTTGCAGATATCCATGTGTCTTGGCTTCAGTCATTCCCTGGATCTAGGGAGGTTTCCAGTGCAGGGACCCTGGGTCCATAGGACATGCTCTGCTCCTGGCTCTTCTTTCTTGGTGATAATAGATCCCTCTTGAATTCTCTCTTAAAAGTTCTTTTCAACTTTCTCTTACAGTAGTTGTTGACTATTAGTCTCTTGCCAGTATTTAGACTTGAGGAGGGGTTGAGAGGAACAGGGAACAGGAAAGTTCTGCTGGATTGCTAGCAAGGCCAGACCTGCTGCAGGGTTAAATCACCCTTTACTAAGTGAGGCAGAGTCACCAGCACCTTTAAGACTAGTTAGACTTGATAAGCAATTTAGAAAACTCATTCTTAGGATTTTGTTTCTCTAGAATTGCTCTCAGTACCAAATGTCTTAGGTTGGGTACCCCTGAGAAGCCAATGAAGCTAATACTATGAAGCTTATACCTGTGATGACCCTTGAACAACATGTATTTGAACTGCAGGGGAACTAACATGTGGATCTTTTTCGATAAATATATTGGAAATTTTTTTGGAGATTGGTAACAATTTGAAAAAATTGTGTAGCCTAGAAATAATCAGGACAAAAATAAGGAAAGATAGGTATATCATGAATGCATAAATATATGTAGATACTAATCTCTTTTATCATTTACAATATATACAAATCTGTTATAAAAAGAAATTTATCAAAACTTATACACACACTTAAAGACCATACATGATAATATTAGCAGTTGAGAGAAATGTAAATAAACATTAAGATGCAGTATTAAATCATAATTGTAGTACATGCTATACTACTGTTTAGTAATTTTCTAGGCACTTCCTGTTGCTATTGTGGTGAGCTCAAGTGTTGCAAGTATCAACTTAAAATGCCATGTGACCTTAATCATCTCCACATGAGCAGTTCTTCTCTCCAGTAAATTGTGTATTGCAGTTAAAAGTGATCTTGCAGTTCTGTTGCATTTTTTATGGTGTTTACTGCAATTAGGAGCTTTGGTGGCATAGTGCCTAAGGCATTTGACTGCTAACAGGAGCCTGATGGTTCAGACTCACCAGCCACTCCTCAGAAGGAAGATTGGACAATCTATTTCCATAGACATGCTGCCTCAGAAACCCAAGGAGGGGTTGTGTGAGTTCGAATTGACTCGATTTCAGTGAGTTTGGGTTTATTTTATTTTTTTTTTAGTTTTACTGCAATACTGTAAACCTGTGGGACCCATGTGAAGTGCTCCTAGTAATGCTAGGAACCAGAGAAAAGTCATGTTATTACAAAAAAAAAAGTTGCCTGCCATTTCAAGATAAATGAATCTAGTGTAAGGACTATTGTACAAAAAGAAAAGGAAATTTGTGAAGCCATTGCTGAAGCTACACCTTTGAAAACCTTGCACTTTTTGCAAAATATCTTTTATCTCATACTGAAAATGCAGCTTTTATGTGGGTGCAGAATTGCTGTATAAAACTTGAATATGATTTTAGAGAAAATGAAGTCATTATATGACAACTTTAAGCAAAAGGAAGGTGAATGATCTAAACCTGGAGAATTTAATGCCAGTGAAGGATGGTTTGATACTTAGAAAGAGGTTTGGCTTAAAAAATATCAAGATAACAGGAGAAGCAGCTTCTGCCAATCAAAAGGCAGTAGATGAGTTCCCAGATGACATTAAGAAAATCATTTAGAAGAAAGGTTATCTGCCTAAACAATTTTTTAATGAGATGAAAGTGTGCTATTCTGGAAAAAATGCCACAAAGGACATTTATTAGTAAGGAATAGAAGCAGGCACCAGAATTTAAGGCAGGAAGGGATAGGCTAACTGGTTTTCTTCAAATGAAATCGAGTTTATGCTTAAGACTGTCTTGATCTATAAAGTGGCTAACCCCCAAACCTTAAAGGTAAATAGCAGCTGCCAGTCTTTTGGTTGTACAACAAGAAGGCCTGTACAATGAGAACACTTTTCTGGATTGGTTTCATTGGTGCTTTGTCCCTGAAGTCAGGAATTACCTTGTCTGTAAGGGACTGCTTTTTAAAGTTCTTTTGATTTTGGACAATGCCCCTGGCCACCTAAAACCCCGTGATTAAACGCCAAAGGCGAAGTGGTCTACTTGTCCCCAAACACCATATCTTTAATTCAATCTCTAAACCAGGACGTGTAAGGCTCATTATACACAGTACTCTATGGAGAGGATTGTCAATGCTATGGAAGAGAACCCTGATAGAACATCATGAAAATCTGGAAGAATTACACCATTGAAGATTTAGTTCTTGTTCTAGAAAAAGCTATGAAAGCCGTCAACCCCGAAACAATGAATTTCTGCCAGAGAAAACTTTGTCCAAGTGCCATGCCTGACTTCACAGGATTTACAGTAGAACCAATCAAGGAAATCATAGAAGTGATTGTGGATATAACAAAAAAGTAGGAGGTTAAGGGTTTCAAGTTATGGATCTTGGAGAAATTCAAGAGGTGGTCGATACCAGAGGAGTTAACAGAACATGACTTGATGGAGACGATTGCTTCGGAACCAGCACCAGACAATGAGGAAGAAGATACAAGAGAAGAAGCGTCAGAAGACAAACAGATGTTAGACAATCCAGCAGAAGAGTTCTGATTATTTAAGACTGTTTTTGATTTGTTTTACAACATGGACCCGTCTGTAATATGAGCACTGAAACAAACCACACTTTGATACCATATGGAAACATTTTTGGAGAAATGAAAAAGCAAAAGAAACAGAAATCACGATGTATTTTTGTAAAGCTACACTGAGTGTGCCTGCCTGTCCTGCATCCTCTTCCATCCCTTCCACCTTTTCCACCTCTTTTGTTTCTGCCTGAGGCAAAAGCTGGCATGACCAACTCCTCCTTTTCTCCTCCTCAGCCTATTCAACACAAAGATAATGAGGATAAAGATCTTTATGATGATCCATTTCCACTTAAGGAATGGAGAATAATCATCATGCCATACAGTTAATAAACTTACCTATATTGTATATGTATTTTCTTTGTGTGAAAATCTAAATAACTTATGGCAAGAACTGTGTTAATTGACTGGTTTATGTTATCAGTAAGGCTTCAGTCAACAGTAGGCTATTAGTAGTTAAGTTTTTGGCGAATCAAAAGTTATATGCAGATCTTTGACTGCTGTGGGGGGCCCTTGTTCCCACATTGTTCAGTGACCAAAGGTGCATGTGTATGTTTATAGATGTTGTTGTGATGTTCGGTGCTGTTGAGTCAGCTCTGACTTACAGTGACCTTATATACAACAGAATGAAACACTGTCCGGTCCTATACCAGCCTCACAATCCTTGTTATACCTGAACCCATCATTGTAGTCACTGTGTCAGTCCATCTTGTTGAGAGCCTTCCTCTTTTTGTTGAGCCTCCACTTTACCAAGCATGATACCGTTCTCCAGGGAATGGTCCCTTCTGACAACATGATCAAAGTAGGTGTGTGTGTGTATGTGTGTGTGATAAAGAGAGTGTATGGTGATTGGAATGCAAAAGTTGGAAACGAAGAATCACTGGTAGTTGGAAAATAAAGCCTTGGGATATAAATATCGTGCTGGAGATTGCATGATAGGATTCTGCAAGACTAGTGAATTATTCTTTACAAATACCTTTTTTCAACAACATAAATGGCAGTTGTGCACATGGACTTACCCAGATGGAGAACAGAGGAATCGGATTGACTACATCTATGGCAAGAGGCAATGGAGAAGCTCAGTATGTTCAGCCAAAACAAGGCCAGGAGCTGACTGTGGAACAGACCATCAACTGCTTATATGCAAATTCAAGTTGGAGCTTAGTTAGATAGTTAAAAGAAGTTCATGGGAGCCAAAATATGACTTTGATTATATCACTTCTGTATTTAGACAATCTGAAGAATAGACTTGATGCATTGAACACCAGTGACCGAAAACCAGATGAATTGTGGGATGACATCAAAAACATCATCCTTGAAGAAAGCAAAAGGTCATTAAAAGGAAGAAAAGACCAAAATCAATGTCAGAAGAAACTCTGAAACTTGCCCTTGAACAGAGAGTAGCTAAAGTGGATGGAAGAACCAACAGGATAAAATTGCTACCCAGAAAATTTCAAAGAGCAGCTCGAGAAGACAAAGTCAGTTATTATAATGAAATGTACAGAGACCTGGAGTTAGGATACCAAAAGGGAAGGACACACTAGGCATTTTCCAAGCGAGAGAATTGAGGAAAAAAAAATTAAACCTTGAATTGCAATACTGAAATATTCTAAGGGCAATATGTTGAATGATGCAGGAAACATCAAAAGAAGATGCATGGAATACACTGAGTCACTCTACCAGAAAGAATTGGTAAATGATCATCCATTTCAGGAGGTGGCATATGATAAAGAATCAATGATACTGAAAGAAGAAGTCAAAGCTGCACTTAAGGAATTGGCAAAAAACAAGACTCTGGGAATTGATGGAATACTCATTGAGATGTTTCAAAAAAGGATGCTGCACTGGAGGCACTCATTTGGCTATGCTAGGAGATTTGGAAGACGGCTACCTGGCCAACTGACTGGAAGAGATCCATATTTGTACCCATTCCAGAGAAAGATGATCCACAGAATGAAAAT